GGTGCTGTGCTGATTTTTGGTGATGAAGATGCGTGGAGGTACTGGGGAGAGGAACAGAAAGAGAACACTTGGTGGCAATCAAAAGACGACAGCTTTTGTTTTGTTTTTTGAGGGGGGGTGGAGGCATATTTTGAGAAGAGATAGATTGTAAAATATAAGCTTACCAGAGAAAGTCGAGGGATTAAAGGAAGAGGGAGGCAACGTGGGGAGTTCCTTGAAAATCTCGGAGATGGATGGACGGCAGAAAAACTGATCCAGACAACAAGAGACAGACCTGAGTGGCAAACCGTGATCTCCAGCGTCAAAGGTACAATATAGTACGGCGCACCGATGATGATGATGATGATAATGATGATGAGTACTTATCGCTGTAGCATGATACAGATCACCAACGGTGGGACATTAGTGATAAAACGACAGGTACAACATCAAACACCTGACTTGCCGCAATGTTGCTTCACTCTCTCTCTTTTACAGGTACTTTAACGGGCAATGTTCAGTGGATTTGGCATCCTGTGTACCGCCGGCAAGGCCGTGGGCTCGTAACACAAGTCTTGCCCGCGGTGCCCACCATTTCTCTGTGGATGTCGGTCACAATAGAATAACACATTATACACTGGAGTACCTCCTTCTTTCTTCACACAGCTAAACTGTGGAATGCTCTGCCTTCTTCTGTGTTTCCACACTCATACAATCTGTCTCACTTTAAAAAGCTGGTTTTGTGGCATCTTCGTGGCGTAGATTAATACAGGTATAAGCTTTTCGTTTTCTATGTTAAATTTCTTTCAACTCATATTTTTTGTTGTGGGTCGATAACCTGGGCCCGGGTGGGCTATTCCCCATAAAAAAAAAAAATTACAACCCTAAGTGAATCACAGGTGCTCCTGTCACCAGGTGACTTAAAAACATCAGCTGATTTGCAGGTGTTTGTAATGAAGACAAATAACTCCCCTGTGCTTATTTTGAATCAGATGAACTACTGAGGCTCATAATGACACGAGGTGCTTATAATAACCCAGGTCAACAGTTTCCAGCACACGAGGGATTACCCGTTTAAACATTCTTGTTCTACTTTGATTTAGGGGTTTTGTATTTGTTTAATAATAATAACATAGGAGCGTCCTACCTCCATCGTGTTGGTCTTAATAGCGGTAAAACAAAAAATGCCATGACAATGAGGATCAGAAAAGTGTATTTCATATGATGGAAGGACTTACCACACGCCAATTGCAAAGTGGTGTGCGTCTTACAGCGTTTAAGAATGTTAAATGTGAAGATAAACCTGAACGGAAATTTAAATTAATTTATAAAACTGAATTCACTTATTATTTTTATGGTTTCGGTCACTTTTAACTGTATGTGGCAACAACGAGTATAGTTTTCCACTACAAAGGGAAACACTAACGCTGTAATGAACAACGTCTCCTTAGCGTCAACAGCGTTGATAAGAGCACCAAACAGAGGAAAGTATCACGTGATTACAAAATATAAATATTGGCAATAATGACTTAAGACAAAGCACTAACTTCAATACTATTATAAGGCGTAAACTAACAATAATTATATCTTAACTTTACATAAATACAGTTTGATAAAATTTGGTTATACAATATATAAGAACAAGTTATCATAACTGTTGCTATTATAATCCAGAACACTTACTCTCTGATGTGGGCTACGTAACTAAGTGTTATAACAATATATAAGTGACAGTGTTACAACAATATACAGTATAGCTGACAGAGTTACAACAATATATAGCTGCCAGTGTTATAACAATACATAACTAACAGAGTTACAACATTATATAACTTGCAGCGTTATAACCATAGAGGTATAAGAGGTGGAGGCGGCATGCCGCGCGCTCCCTGAAGCCAATTCTCCCCTGCTTCTGCCATCTTTGTGTTGGCTGGTCGCGCGCCAGGAGGCTGAGTGACCCTCATTGACACTGGTGTGCACTGTTTGCACTCGTCCATAGCATCCCTGTGTGATTAAGTGAAGCTATTATTTTATTTTCAACCATTTATTATATACTATAGTATAATAAAACTACATTTCAATGAACAAGACAAATCATTAGCATCAATTATCCTTATCATAGCACGAACCTGGTACCCTGAGCACAGTGGGATTTCTGTGCATTTTTACCTTGCAAACTGATCATTAAAATCCGCTAAACAACATTAACTAATTCATGCTATTTCTACCTTTGACAGCTTTGAGAGATACATTTCGTGCTGTGAACTGTTTGCCTGCTTACTCTACTGTATGTGTAGCTCACCTGTAGATAGGTCTCAGCTACTGCTTTGATTAGCAATACAAGATGATTGTTGAGAGGATCACTTCTGACGTGTGTATTGCCAAGCCTGGGAATATAATTTTGTTCAGGAACTCTGACACTACATAATTTGCAATTTGTGCCAATCATATGTTGACAGTTTTGCGTAGGGGTGTATTTTACTGGCAAGCAATATTTTTTCTCTGAATATCTTTTCGCATAAGCAACGTATAGTAATGGCATCTTTAGTTGGAAATGATAGATCCCCTTGGTTTTGGTAGTGATTAATGCAGGAGTTTCATCAACATTTTGGGTAAATAGTACACTACAACATGCTTCACACTTCAAAGATTTCTTAAGTTTCACGGATACAAAACCAGCTATATATGCAACTATCTTCACAGTACAAGGAAAGACCACACTAGTATTTCCCTCTTCTGAGAGCACACCAGGCTGCTCATTTGATAAATGTTATCGTGCTCAAAGACCCTGTATGCTTTTATCAAGAGAAGAGTTAATTAAATTGCTCAATGGAGCATTGGTATTAAGATCCTTTAGATAATTACTAGAGGTAGTTAGAATTGGGGTAGATTCTAAAACTAAGCAATTTCCACGAGTCACTTCTTCAATGTCATTGTGAGTTAACACCTTGAAAGTTGCTGAGAAATGCCGAGCTGTGGGATTGTTGTTGCACCCTCCCATACTACTAATTTTGCCCCAAAATAGTTTTACATGATCCTGACTCATCTTGTAAGTTAAGAAGTAATCCAAAAGTGGTGTTGAAGTAACAATTAGCATTTCGCAAATTTTTTGCAAACTTTTGCAACAAACAAGGAATCCAATAAATCCTGTTTTTCTTCTAGATTGAACAATAGGCAACTTACCAGGCAGTAATGTTAAGGAAACCAGATACTGTTGCACACTTTCAATGAACTTCATTACCTCTGAATTATTATCTGCCTACAAAGGGCGCTTCCAGCCCTAACTACACAAATTCCGAGAATTCATGATGTCAAACACTGCTATGAGTGTACGTATGAATTTTATTGTTCCTTGGCAACTATGAAATCCGGGTATCTTCTCATCCAAACAAAACTGGAGGTTGTTAGCAACAGAGTCACTAAGTAACTGCACCGCCAATTTTACATTAATTCTTTTCTTTACGTATTTAATATGTGAAGCTCTTAAATTGTTTCCGAGATGCAGACCTTCTTTTTCCTGTAACTGGTGGAGACTGACAATGAATCGTCACTCAATTGTATGACCTTCTGCATCGAAAAATTTACCTAGATCGCCAAGAGAATTTCTTAACAACTTGGCCATATGACATGGATCAAGAAAAATGCACACTGGCTCTCCTGTAGCAGGATGATCAAAATATGACTTTATATTTTCAGGATTCAAGCTGCAACCAAGATTTTTCATCATAGTTAAATTAGGAGCTGCATCATCAAAAGTGAGAGACACAATATTCACTCCAACTGAATGAAGTTTGTTCAAAGCCTGCAAAACTAAATTACTGCCTTCATTACTGCAAAGTCCATTAAAAAAAAATATTCACTTGGTAACTTAAAAGTAGGCTTGTGTGACACTACCATAAAAGTGAGAGCTTCTTTAGCTACAGGCAAGCAATCATCATCTAGTTCAGTCCCCAATCCTAACTACCTCTAGTAATTATCTAAGGGATCTTAATGCCAATGCTCCATCGAGCAATTTAATTAACTCTTCTCTTGATAAAAGCATACAGGGTCTTTGAGCACGATAACATTTATCAAATGAGCAGCCTGGTGTGCTCTCAGAAGAGGGAAATGCTAGTGTGGTCTTTCCTTGTACTGTGAAGATAGTTGCATATATAGCTGGTTTTGTATCCGTGAAACTTAAGAAATCTTTGAAGTGTGAAGCATGTTGTAGTGTACTATTTACCCAAAATGTTGATGAAACTCATGCATTAATCACTACCAAAACTAAAGGGAATCTTTCATTTCCAACTAAAGATGCCATTACTATACGTTGCTTATGCGAAAAGATATTCAGAGAAAAAAATATTGCTTGCCAGTAAAATAAACCCCTACGCAAAACTGTCAACACATGATTGCCAGAAAATTTTAATTTATGTATTGTCAGAGTTCCTGAACAAAACTATATTCCCAGGCTTGGCAATACACATGTCTGAAGTGATCCTCTCAACAATCATCTTGTATTGCTAATCAAAGCAGTAGCTGAGACCTATCTACAGGTGAGCTACACATATAGTATACAGGCAAACAGTTCACAGCACGAAATGTATCTCTCAAAGCTGCAAAAGTAGAAATAGCATGAATAAGTTAATGCTGTTCAGCGGAATCTAATGATCAGTCTGCAAGGTAAAAATGCACAGAAATTCCCATGGGCTCAGGGTACCAGGTTCGTGTCCTCAAAAGGATACCTAATGCTAATGATTAGTGTTGTTCAATGAAATGTAGTTTTATTATACTGTAGTATATAATAAATGATTGAAAATAAAATAATAGCTTCACTTAATCACACAGAGATGTTATGGACGAGTGCAAACAGTGCACACCAGTGTCAATGAGGGTCACTCAGCCTCCTGGCGCGCGACTAGCCAACACAAAGATGGCCGACGCGGGGGATATATATATATATATATATATATATATATATATATATATATATATATATGAGAAAGCCGAGAATATGGAGAAACATTACATTTATAGCTTACGTTTTGGAAATGCTCGTATTCCATCATCAGTGCCTAAAATAGAAATAAAAGTAACAATAAAAGAACAAAAAAATAATATATATACACACACACACACACACACACACACACATATATATATATATATATATATATATATATATATATATATATATATATATATATATATATATATATATATATATATATATATATATAAGAAAGCCGAGAATATGAAGAAACATTATATTATATAGCTTACGTTTCGGAAAAGTTCGTATTCCATGATCAGTGCCTAAAATAAATAAAAGGTAACAATACAAGAACAACAAAATAAAAAAATACACACACATATATATATATATATATATATATATATATATATATATATATATATATATATATATATATATATATATATATATATATATATATATATATATATATATATGCTGATAACCACAAGAAAGAAGAAAACATGAAGTTCCCAAGCGCTTTCGTTTAATTCACATCTTCAGGGGTGAGTACAGACTAAGGAGAAGTGGTTATCAGCATATACCTGGATCATGCGCTACTACAGTGATTTACTTATTTATATATATATATATATATATATATATATATATATATATATATATATATATATATATATATATATATATATATATATATATATATATTGATAAAATTACATCTGAAGATGTTTTGAATAAAGACGAAAGCTCAGGTGCTCAATTGTCTCCCCTTTTCCTGTGTGGTTTTATCAGGCTTTATCTTTTCCACGTTTCCATTGTGGATGTTAATAATAATAAATAATAATAATAATTAACGGTTTATTGAAAGAGCTTGGCAGCCAGAAGGCTGAAAATATACAGTTACATATTTGGGGAATGGGTTACGAATTACAAATAATATACAAGTAACATAAGTGACACAAATAAGACATATAATAACTAGATGGGGAAAAGCTCAAACTACAGTTCATTTCAACATAGTGACAGTGTAAGGAGCAGTGTTTACTGGGAGTGAATACACTGATTTATTACAAGTTATTGATAATCTTTACAATGGTTGGGACTGGGCTGTTCTTATAGCGATCAGTTCGTGCATGTATGGGCTGGATGCGGTTGTGGTGTCGAACAGCAATTCTCGGACAAGGGATCTCAGGTGGTAGTAGGAGCCGGTGTCGGGGATGGTGTAGAAGCTTCTTACCAAATTTGCAGATGAGGTCGTGGTGATGGTCAGTGAGAGTCGAAAGGGTCAGTGTGTTGAGCGCTTCTTGATATGTGGAGTAGGAAGGGGAGAGAATAATCTTGCATGCCCTCTTTTGCACTTTTTCTAGGCGTTTACGTTGTGTGGCATTTAGGGAGGAAGACCAGGTGGGGGAGGCATAGGTGAGCTTGGGAAGTATGAATGTTGTGTAAACACTGAGGAGCTCGTGTGCAGGAACTCCGAGGGACTTGAGTCGGCGGAGGAGGTGGAGACGGAAACTGGAGGATTTGACAACTTCACTGACGTGTGGTTTCCAATTTAGTTTGTTGTCTATGGTGACGCCGAGGAGCTTCGTGGAATCTACAACCTGGAGTGTGTTCGGACCTAGAGTAATGGAAGGAGGTGGGACAATGTCGGAGGAGAGGTTGATGTGCATAACCATGGTCTTGGTATGGTTGATGGTGACATGGTTGTTGGTGGCCCAGTTTTGGAGACTGTTCAATAAATCCTGAAGGGCGGTATAGTTGGGAGCAGAATTGTTGACGCTGATCCCAATGGTGGAGTCGTCGACATATTTCCAGCGAGCAGGGGTTTCTCTTAGGGCATCATTGATGAGCATAAGGAAGCAGAGTGGTCCCATCTTGGTGCCTTGGGGGACGCCACAGGTGAGTGACTGAAAGGTGGAGACAGCCCCTCGGAAGCGTACAGCTTGGCGTCGGTCACTGAGGAAGTCTGTTAGCCATGGTATAAGACTTCTCCGAAGCCCGAGGTCAATAGCTTTGTTGATGATTATATTGTGGTCGACTAGGTCGAACGCTTTAGTGAAATCAATGAAGGCGACAGCTACAGACGTTTTTCGTTTCTCGAGATGGCGGTATATGTAATCGAGAAAGCTGACAAGACAGTGAGTGGTGGAGGAAGTTTTCATGTTGCCAAATTGCTGAGGGTCTACGACTCCTGCAATATCAGCATAAGCCCAGTCGAACACAAAACTTTCACAGATTAGGCTGGGTATTGGGGTGATTGCAATAGGTCGTAGCTGATTTAAGGATTGTGGGCTGGTTGACTTGGGCACTGGTGATACATAAGAGGTCTTCCAGTCAGCTGGGCATCTGGCTTGACTGAGAGAAGCATTGATGATGGAGCAGAGGGGTTTAGCAAGCTCCGGGGAGAACTCCTTGAAGAGTTTCATTGGTAAGTCAATGGGGGTGGTAGAGCGTTTTAATTTTAGTTTGTCCAGGCGTTTTGCTACGTCAAATTCTTCTACTAAGTCAGTGGGAAGGGGGGCTGGTAGGTAAGCAGGGAGAGTGGTTGTGTCAAGCCGTGGGAGCGTCTGGCATATAGTAGCGAAATGGTTATTTGTTTGCTCAGCTGCGTCAACATTAGTGAGATGGCTAAGGAAGGGGAGGGGGTGTGTCTTATTGTTTAGTCCACAGAGTTCTTTAAGCTTACCATACCATTGACTGATGTTGGTCTGCTTCAGGTGTTGTAATTTGGTTGGGTAGTGGGACTTCTTTGCAGTGCGTATTTCGCGGATGACTCGGTTGCGAAGGGACCTGTAGCGGATGTGGTCATTGAGATGAAAGGCTCTGTCTCTCTGTTGCATAAGTCTTTTGATCCGAGGTGTGATCCAGGGCAAGTCAGCTGGGTGAGATCTGACGGACTTCTCGGGGAAGAAGTGGTGGTGAGCTTCCGTGGTGGTGTTGGTATAATTTATCCATTTGGTTTCCACGTCATCCACGCTAAGTACTTCAGTCCAGGGATGGTGAACTATCCACTGCCCGAAGAGGCGCACTGCAGAGTCAGTAATCGGCCTGTAGGTCTTGATGTAGGGTCTCTGTACTTGAGTGGGAGTGGCAGCTGGGGACCAGAGCACTGATAAGTGTGTGCTACACCCGATAGGAGGCATTGGTTGAGGTGGTTGGTACTGGTCCGCTAAGTCAGTTAAGATAAGGTCAAGGGTATTTTGACCGTGTGTGGGGAAGGTCACAACTTGTGATAGTGATAGCTGGTCCTGGATATCAGTGGTGTCAATTTCATTTAAATCCCCACATAATACTAACTTGGCACATGGGTACCTAACTCTGAGGTGGTCTGAGGTGGTGATGAGGTGATTGATAAGAGTGTCTCTGGTGGGTGATCGAGGCGGATGGTATGCCACACAGATTATAATGGAAGCAGTGTTGCGTGGGTGGGCCCGTAGCACGACACGTACCCATAATGCTTCCACATCTGCTGGGACTTGAACATCCAGGCGTGACGGGCGTAGGTCATCTTGACAGAAGAGGGCAACGCCCCCTCCGCGTCTTTGTAAACGAAGGTGATGAAAGAGTTGATATCCCTCAATATGACACGTTTCAGGCACAATTTGCCAAGCCTCACATATGGCAACGACGCTCGCAGCGGTTGACCTGACTGTAGTTGCCAGCTCGTCGAACTTGTTAGCTAGGGAAGTGACGTTGGATAGCAGTAAAGACGGGAGATCATACCATATCCGTGGAACTTCAGTGTGGTGGTATGGTCTGTCAGGGGTGGGTTTCTCCGGTTTCCTAGTGGAGGTTACAGTTCTAATGGGCTCATGTGTATGACGGCCTTGTCTACGGCTCCGCGCGTGGAATATTTTCAGTGACTTGAGTCGCGCGATAACACTGCCATCAGGATAACCGTTCCCACGCTTTAGATGGTACAGACTGCGTCGGGAGTAAGTGATTGGTGGCCATCTGTTGAGATCTGTTGTGGGCGGACGGAAGTGTTTGTCACTGGCGGCACTTTGAGGGACACTGACACTGGTAGACATCTGTTAATATTTGTCAGTCGTAAAGACCCTGGGTCCCCGTTCCTTGGTGCTTGGGGTTGCCGACACAGTTTTCACGATATATGTAAACACCGCGGTGGTCCTTGTCACTGGCACTTTAAAGGTGACCGATAAAGTGCCCACTGTCTGACTTTTCCTTGGGGTGCACTATCGAGCACTGTATGATAATCACTTATTGCACTGATGACTAGAATGCTTTGCCGAGAAAGTTCCTTAAGTGCGCTATAGGAACACTGCTCCGTAATCAATCGTTCAGCTAATCACTGGAATGTTTTGCTGAATCGATCCTGGTGTAGTAAGGCTGGTAGGGGTATAGCAGGGGGAGTGGGCAGGGCCAAACAGGCTCGGCCTGGCTGCTAAAACCTGGAGCGCCTTCCGGGCACGTCCTGTCTCACTGAGGGTTGACAAGTGTTAACGCTCATAGGAGCGTTATTGGTTTGTTGCTGGAGAAATAAACCCTCAACATTGACGCGTACCATATAATTCGGTCAAAACCTGTTAAAAACATTTCTCATATAACAAATGCTGTTATCTCAGGACACATCATATGAATAATACAATCAATATACAGTACATAGCCTGTTAACATCTTAAATATAACTCACATGTTATAACTACTGATACAGGAGACAATTGGTATAATATGATCAAACTGCAGTACACAAATATACTTATTAAAGTTATTTAGAGTTTCTTAGCAGATTCTAATACTTCACGATCACTCACGTTTTAGGGTCTAGTGGTCTGAACCAACGTGTTGTCTGTCCTGTAGAAATCAGTAGACTACCCTGAGGGCAATCTCAGCCCGTAGGCGAGGGCCATATGTTTTCGTATTGAAACACCTCAGCAGATTGGTCAGCAAATTCGTTGTCAACACTATATCTCTTATCTCACCCCCTCTCTCTCTCTCGCCTAGTTTATCTTATTATGGTTATCCCTCTCTTTCTCTCTCTTCTAGCTTATCTTACTGTGGCGGTAACACTCCCCCTGTCGGGCTTCGCACGAAATCACGGCATATTATTAGATT